GAGGTTGTTGTCCGATACGACGTAAACCCTCATATTTTCTAGGCAATTTGTGTGACCCTGTCACGCAAATATAAGTCCTAATTAAATAAAATTGGCAGGATGAAACACTTTAATAATGTCTTCTTAAAGTTGAAGTCAAACCATAGGATAGACTGGGAACCTACTGAGGTTTGCCTCAGGATCTGTGGCTTCCCCTAGTTTCTCTTCATTTGGATTCCTTAACAATGTTCCAGATTTGAGTTTTTCCCCCTTCACACCTCTTTGTCCGATTTCGTTGTAAAGTCCTATCATTTTTTACTTCTTTGAAGACATTATTCCCTGATTTTTATCGAGAGTTTTTTTAGGTGACCTAGATCATTTAAGATGTAATTAACTATAGGGGTTTGCCCTTATAGGAAGCTTTTCCGAACCCAGCTTAAAATAAACCCTATTTAATTATTTATTTTAAATAGGGGAACTTGTCGGCAAATAAAACGGTTTCGCAGACTCAAACGGATGTCATATGTTTTCTTAGTTTATTTAGATCGAACCTCACCCTCAAGTCTTGTGTTTATCCCTCGGGGTAGATACAAGATTTGAGGTAGAGTGCTCTTTCATTTAAACTATGAAAAATATGAGGTCAGTTTGATTTCATATTTTTCTAAAATTATATACATATATATACGTAAATTAAAACGTCCTTTCGAGGCGGGCGACGGGATTTCGATTCCGGCGACCGACAGTTTCTTACGGGCGACCCCCCAAACTTTCTTTTAACTTTCTTCTTTTTAGTGCCGACATATAGATGTTAGATGCTAAATTGTAAAAAGCAGGACACAGACTCACTATAGAGATAATATTTTCTTTTTATAAATTATTACTATAAAATGTGTTATTGAAAAAAAAAAAACATTGAAAATATTTTTTGGAGAACACCTAAAATATGTAGATTTGATAGATAGAAGAGATAAATGAATCACTATTGGAGATGAAAAAAAATAGTCGTAAAAGAAGTATATATTTGAAATCAGGGCTAGGGGCGATAACTTAAATCCAAACCTAAACAAAAAAATTGAAACATGCAAAGAATTGTTTAGCTAAAGAAAGATCTTCAACTGAGTTATATAGATGAAATACTTAAGTGGTGTGGGAAATGACAGAGGAATAACATTGGTATAGGCTTGACAGAAACGGTTCAATGAAGGAGCAACATTTGAAGCGTCATTGAGATGGAAGACGATCGAGATGGAAAAGATGACATGAGTAGGAAATATAGGAACATGCAAGAGAGAATAAACCTGAACTCGAATAAACTAGTGAGAGTTGAAATTGGATTTTATAGTCACACTGGACATGCCCAACATGTTGGAGGTTTGACTTTGTTCTTAACTCCAAAATTCTTAACAAAAAATTGCTTATAATATGTTCTTTGTGTCTCCTGTGGTTGGACTCTAATTTTGATAACAAATATCGTCACGAATTTTAGGCGTATTGGTTACATGTCAAGGCATGTTGGAAGCATGTCTTTTTTGATACATGTTTGACACAAGCATGAAATACATTTTGAAGTATTTGTGCTTCATATTTAGAAATTGATTTTATAGTTAAATTTTTTAATTATATTGCTTTCCTTTAGATTATTATGGAATAAAGGGAACCTATTTTTCAGATAGCTCTCAAATTGAGGAAATTATACTTAAATCTGCAACTTCCAGTGCATGACATATAACCTATTGTTGCAGAACTCCGTCTTATAATATGTTATCACCTAATTGTTTTGAATCTGCCATATTTGAATGCCACTTGTCTTATTACTATTATTAGGATTATTCATATGATAAAGTTGTAATCGAATGTTGTTTTATTTAGATGATTTTTTATGAAGGCCTTATGCTTTATAAAAGATTCATATTTTGATTATTATTTAATGTTAACTTGTCATTTTGTTTTTTCAGTTTGCAAGAGAATCACAATTATATAAATATTACTACAATTGCTAGCAAATTTTAACTTCTCTAGCTCACCCCCCCCTCTCCCATCTCTCTTTCTCTCTCATCGTCTCTTCTCTCTTCTCAGTGGATGTTGATTCTTCCCTTTCTTGTGGCCTAATTTGTATCGAGTGGTACTAGAGCCAAACAATTCTTTAATTTCATTTGATTAATGGATTGAAACATCACTCTGCCGTTTGTTCACTGAACTTTGCATAATAAGAACCTGTGCTGCTGAAGTTGCATGTTTCTGTGTTGAAACTCAGGAAGCTTTTTTGTGTCCTTGTGATATTCCATGCAGAGGACTAGTACTTATCTGCTGAAATTATGTTTGCTAAACATGCTGAAATTCTGAACTTCTCTGCCTTGCCTGCTCTTTGCTTCCAGGAAAATTTCGCTTGCCTAATTTGTTTGTTCTACTGCTGAACAAGCATACTGAAATCAGCAGTTAAAACTTCTGAGCCCTCATTTGCTGTCATACGGTTTAGTGTTCAAATAGATCCTGCTGCCTCAAAATTGTGAATCTATACTCTATACTCTCTCCTAAGCCATCTCCATTTATGTTATGTATTTCCTAATCAGTTCTCCAAATCATTCCTCTGATATCACCATATCTTTGCTAATCTTTTACTGCAAAATCTTTAAGCCTTTTCTCAAATCCTTCGTACAATTTTTTTCTCAAATCTGTCTACATAGATCTTTTATCGAAGAACAGTAGCTGCTTGTTGCAATATTTTATTTAGTATTCTGTTTTCTAGCCTTCTGCATGTATATTATGAAAACTGTACTTGCATTGTTATCTCAGAGGCCAAGTGCTAAGGAACTACTGAAACACCGATTCATCAGGAGTGCTCGAAAAAGCCCCAAGCTTCTTGAAAGAATAAGGTCAATAAAGCTTTTAATTTCTTACCCCTTTGATTAATAATCACCAATTAATCCATGGATGTACATTAGTTAGTGTGTGCTTTTTGTACTTCTTTAACATGATAGAGAACGGCCAAAGTTCCCCCTGAAAGGCAAGTTGGGAACTCAAAAGAATGGCCCCGTTCAATATGATGAAGGAACTGGCACTCTCAAGGCGGTCAGAGATTCAAGAGATGAAACAATAAGATCAAGGTATGCTATTATTTGTCATAGTGTAATTTCCATCTGTTAAATTTTTCAACTTTTAATTATCTTTTTTTATTGTGTTACAGTCACGTGAAAGTTTCAAAGAACATTGGTGGAGATTCTAGCAAGGATGTATTACAGGGTACAGGAACAGGCACTGTCAAAGCAGTCAGAGATTCAAGAGACGAAAATGCACAACAAAGGCATTCAAATTTTAATCTATGTAAGTTTTTTTTAATTAAACCGTTCAGTTTTTCATAACCCAATCTGTTTTTTTGGGCAGTCAATGGAGAGCGTCAAAGAGCATTGACTGGGATTCACAAGTGGGTACAGGGACTGTTCGCAGTGCTGTAAAATCATTCCAGGAATCCCCGGTCAGAGAGAAGAGATCTGAGGTTCAAATTGCTTCCCACCTCTCACAAAAGGCTGTGGATAAAGAGAAACAAAAGTTTCCATCATCAATAAGTTCATTTAATGAGCAAAACTCAGAGAATTCATTCCTTAAGGATGAAGAACTAAAAGTTGAAAGACAGGAAATGACTACTGAAGATGTAATTTTTCTTGCTTGATAATCTTGTTACTCCTCTTATGTCTTCAATCCGACCAATGTTTCATGCTTATAGGTTTATCAAGACGGGTCTGGAACTGTTGTGATCCGAAATCCAAGAGCAAGTTTGATACATTCAGCACTGAACCGTTTGAGCTCCAAGGTCTACAGTTCTTTTATGTTCATGGAATTTTATTTGAACTTTTAGAATTTCATTTGGAGGATGGAAAGACATTTACTGACCCCTAAGAATTCTCCTTTGTTAGCCTATGAGCAGACATGGTTCTTTTGAGGAAGTTTCTAGCAGTGGCACAGTTGTTCTTCGCAGTCAACATGATGAAGCAGACACGTCTCAGAGTTCAAAATCTAGATTGGGAATCCAAGAGAAAACTTCAGCTGCCCCACCTGAAGATAGTGCAACTAACCTTGCGGAGGTTCTCCTACTAAGCGACTCTATATAAATTTAGTAGTTTTTGTTCCTGATCTCATGTTTCTTTCTTTCTAGTTTTGACAGCCTTGATTTTCTTGTCGCAAATTTTAGGCAAAGGCTGCATTGCAAGCAGGTGTAAAAAAGGGAAGTTCTCGGCCTGTAGCCAAATCTTTCAAGTATGTAATAGTTAAATGGTACATGGTAACAGCTATTATTTTATTTTCTTTAACCTTAAGCTTATTATATTTTTTCAATCATGAGTTAGATTTATTGAAATTCTGTTTATCGTGCACTTATTATTATTATTTTAATGCAGAGATCCTTCTGAAATCTCAGATGTTCAAAAAGCATCTTCAAAATTACGGCACAGTGATGGTGATGGAAGTGCACAGGCTTCTGCTGCAGCAGCCTCTCCTACATTGTCATCTCTTATTATTCCTTCATTGAAAGAGGTAAGAGCTGAAAGCTTTTGGAAATTATGTTAAGGAATATGATGAATGTAATTATATTGTAATTTATGCCTTTTTTTCCTTCATACAAGGGGTCGACATTTAATAAGCATGATACTTTCGCCCATGAATCTGATTACAGTAATTGACTTCCCGTTTTATAATTAGTTAAATAAAGAGGAGTGCATCTGCGAGGCGCTGGACAACCAAATTAGGATGGAAGTACATTGTTCAAATTTAACCAATTTCATTTAATATGATTAGAGGAATGAAAGCTAAAAGCTCTTTCATAACACCAGGCATTTAAATTTTTGCGTAATGATTAAGGGTTTCAAACTTTAATCACTCTGTTACACTTTGTAAAGTTTATTAATTTAGAATATTTCCAGTTCTTTAAAGTTGAGAAATATGCCTTTATAAATAGAGGGGCGCTGGAGACAGCATGTTTTTTTTTTTATACGGCTGTTGGAATATGGTTCTAATATGAACCTTGTTTAAACCGATGTTAACCGTGACAAACTTTAAAAAAGTGCTCGACCTATTAAAGATATAATACAACAGTCATAATATAATATAATGCATTTTTAGAGATATCACACAAACTGCAATGCAAGTGGTATGACACAACATATGCAAGATCAGTAGTAATGTAATGTGAGTTTATTTACATCAGAATAATAAATGGACCAATGTATCTCGTTGTTGTAACATAAATTTATACCTAAACTGTCTCTGTAGAATTGCATGTGATCTGGTGTACTTTTAAAACTTTTTTTATTTATGTGCTATATAGCCGACACTACATAGTTGCCACTACAAATAAGGCACAGAAAATCATCAGATTTTTTGTGCAAGAAATATTTAAATTTTATTAAAATATCAAATGGATTATCTTACTAAAGACTTGGGACCCATCTATGATGAGACTCCACTTTCAAGAAGACTTGGAGGGTAAAAGTCCACGACAGTAATTAAATAACTTTGATTGCTTAAACACTATAAGCGTGCACTTACAAAATTAGCTCATTTTTTGCATGATTTGCGTTGAGGTGCAGGATGGGCCAGTGTCATACAACATCATGGCTTTTGTAGAAAGTGAGATCTCACATGTTATCTAATAAACTTTATTTCAGTTCATTGAAAAATATGAGTTCTGCATCTGCCTATAATTTTGGAAAATTTTCCTCTCTAATGCATACAGGAGTGCTTAATCAAAACCAATTGGACGATTTTTCATCTTTAGCCTTGTGCACGCAGAGATTGATATTTTGCAGTACTGATATCATGAATTCTTCAACACAGGTGAGATCCACCCCCTAAATTTAAAATATAAAGAGTGGTGCAAAAATAAGAATTAAAGTTTAATGTAAAGAACATTTAGGAACTCATATTTTTAAATGAAGTAAAATATTTCTTACCTTACAATCTAACAAAACAGTTGGAGTATTCCACAGCTAGAATTTCACTGTGTTTTCTCTACCCACTTCTGTTTCCTTTTCTTTGAAGTCTAAGACTTGACAATTGCTCCTCCTTAATCAGGCAGATGGGATCAATATAAGCATAGATTTATTGTCTTGTGTCTCTTTCCTCATAGAATGGTGAGATATCCAGCAAAATATTTTCTTATTCTTCTGCACCCTTCTTTCAAACCTTATTTATCAAAAATTTATACAATTGCAAAAGATGGGAGTGATATGTTTCCTATTTTTTGGACCACCTATTCTGTACATACAATGACAATTGATTGGTCTCTTTTATCCTGTACCTTCTTCGCCTCTTTTTCTATCTCCTACCTTTGCACCTCTTCCTTGACCTCATTTGTGTGAATATCTAGGTTAATGGTAGGCATCGCCTTTCTTTTTTCTTTCCCTTAGTGCTCTTTCTTATGTATATAACTATGAATAAGATTAGTTAAAAGTATCTAATTTTTGTTGTATTCTAATTTAACCATTCTACAACCTAATCTTGTCGCTCATTAACCCTTGTACAATGATAAAGAGCTGCTTCAACCCTTCAAAAGAAGGCATGGAATGATCTGCAATTGACTGTGCTTTCACAACTCTTCTACTTGTAAAAAATTATCTACTTCTTCATATAATAGGGGCCGCTCGCTTTTATTTTTACAATTCTAGTGGGGATATATCAAGTAAGAGTATTTGCAATGAACTTTTATAAATTTCTTCTTCATCGGCTATGTGCATCAATGCAGGACCAACAATTGCCTGCAAGAGAGAAGTTGGAAGTTAATAATTCACTACATAGACAAGACTATTTTGTTTAATTTGAGATGATGGATAAATACTTGTACCTTTAGTCATCGATAATGGAGAGAGAACTATTGCGAGTACTTTGTTTCTTTTGACATAATATCCTTGGTGCTTTTTTCCCAAGGAACTCAGCACACCTCCTCCTAACTTGGGGATATGGCTTCGCAAGCATGGTAGTATAGTGATATGGCATATCCATTTATAATGTATTAGATTGGGGCATTTTTCCTTCAGCTCTTTTAATATTTTCTCTCATGTCAATCCACCTTATGGGTATCCAATTTTTAACCATCTTCAACCATGAAAACTGTCTCAGCAAAAATATTATTGCATTTGTCATGGTTGAGGAAGTCTTCATCTGCAGAAAATAAAGCCCAATTTTTAATACATCAGCTCTCTTAATGCACTCTATGAAAGGTTTTTTTTTTTTTTTTTTTTTTTCCTTTTTTTGTTTTGTTTAAGTGAAGCTTACCGCTTTTACTCATCTTTTGGAACTCTTTAAATAGAATTTCTCCAAACAATATTCAATGATCAAAGCAAATTCAATAATGTCAAGTGTAATGTTTTTTCTCCAATATTGAATACAATGACCTCATTCTGATAAATTATGATCGAACAATCTTTAAACCCTGATTGAACCATCTTTGAACATCGTCAATCATGTTTTGGGGATGGTTTGATCATGTTTATAATCGTATTTTGAAGGTGATTCCAAAATTATTTGAATAATGATTGAAGATGGTTTGAAATTATTCGATTATTATTTGAAGTTTTTCATAGCTGTTCATATATGGTTTGAAGATCATTCAATTGCAGTTTAATCGTGGTTTGAATATGAAGGTGATTCTAACAAATTCTCGACTGTTTTAACTGATGTTAACCTAACTTAGGCTTTCTTTTGATCATTGAACCTATAATATTAAAACGATTTTTTATTCAGCCTTTTTGTGACTTGAAGCTGTTTGCTCGGACATAATTGCAAATAAGGATCATATTTTGTTGGTTTTGAGAACCTATCTATTATTTTTATCATGTACATATTTACCTTTATGTTCAATCACAACTTATGAAGTAGATTATTAGATGCATTGCTTGTAAGGGGTCACACTGCTATCCTTTTTAATGCCTAGAGGAAACTCCAATTTTGGGAACATTTAAAATGGCATGGAGCACCCTAGCTCAGGTATGCCGCTCATGTTATCCGATCGAGGAACTGAGAAAAAGAGGGAAGATTTACATACATACCACTCAATTCTTATGTATCTAAACTTCAATTTTTACATAAAAATATATTTCTTTTTTTAAATGTTAAAATGGTTTTTTTGATGTGATATGAAAGATTTAGGTGGTATAAATATAAAAAGTTGTGGTGTTTGGATATGTAAATACATAGAAATTAGGCGGTATGTATGTAAATGCCCTTAAAAAGAAACATGAAAGCCAAAATGTAGAGAGAACAATTGCGTACACAATGTGTTACAATCACCTAGAGCAATCTGGAACGAAGAATAAGAAAACAATGCTTGATTTTGTTATGAGTTTCTTCGCTGAAAAAAATTATTACATTCTCCCTTACCTCTAACATTCTTGCCGAATTCATGGCTGAAACTCCTCTAAACATCTCTGATATCATACAGGCTGCTGGTGATAGGTTAGACGGATCGATTTCCCGTGCTGCAATCGAAGCTCTCATGAACATGGAGCTACAAAAGCCAGGTGTTTCTGACGCTCTCATGTGCAGATTACTTCAGCGACTCGGAAGGTTTACTTCTTGGAAGATTTACATATATATCACTCAACCCCTATGTATTTACATGCCTAACCCGAAAAGTTATTGTTTACATGCATGCTTTCACCTTCTAAAAGTTAAAATGGTGTTATTTGTGATGTGATATGAAATATTTTGGTGGTATAAATGTAAAAAGTAAAGTGTAGGTGTTACATATATTCATTTGTCAGTCCAGCCATTATAACTGCTGCTCTCCTTACATTTATGCATGTTTGCTTGATGCTGATAAGAATTCTTTTTTATATACAGTTCAAAAGAAACTTCCATGAAAAATCTTCAAGATTTGGCCCGTCGGATTTTTTTGAGATACAGCGAGCCCTCGCAGGACACGGCTGAGAGCAAAACAAAACCAAATTCACAACCAGCAGATAATTCGAGCATCAGCCCACTCGCGAGGTTTCTTATTTCGAGGTTAGTATAAATTCATAGTTTTAGTACGAGTTCATATTGCTGTTACCTTGTGCTCATTTGGATGACTTATTAGCTGCATGTTCTTTTGTTTTTGTATAGGTGGCAAAGCCAAGTTGAACATGATCTTAATGCATTTTAATTATAATATAGTTGTTTTATTATTATTATTATTATTATTATTATTATTATTATTTGATGTTTTATTTTTGGATGTGCAATTAACTATGGCATTGTACATATCATATTCATGTTTGATTTATTACCAATTTGTTGTTGTATTTATGAGGAGCTTCTTTGCTTTTTTTTTTTTTTTTAAATTTAGCATATTCAGCTTTTTTTCACAGCTATAGTTGAGATATTATGAACTCTATAAAAAGAAAAGTTCAAGATGTGTGTGTGTGTAGTGGTAGAGCATCCTCTCATAAGTTCCCATAAGTCACTAGTTTGAATTCTCCCATGTGCTGGGTGTCATGCTCAAATATTTAGCACATCTAGAGTTGGCCGGGTTTTTGTGATAGCCTTTTTCATGGAATTATTCCCGCTGATGTGGCCACGTTATCTTATCAGTTTGCGTAACTTTGCCTTCTCCTCTATATAAGGAAGGCTAGTTTGTGTATTGCAGTCAGTTGAGTCTGGTTTGGAAACCAAATATCTACTGTAAGTCCTTAAGCTTTGAAGTATTTTAATCTAAGCTCTGAGTATTTATTTAGTTTTTAAGATTTTCCGGCTATAAGTTATTTGTGACCCCCAAGCTGGCGATCTCTATTTCTTTTCCGTTTCCGCATCTTTTTGGTATCAGAGCCATGTTGGGGTAAAACTTTAACAGTGTTCTAAAGGATCCTAGTAAGGATCTTGATATGTTGATTTGCTAAACCTTTCATGCTAATTTATACTTTATTTTTAGCAAGAAATTTTTATGAATATGGTTTTATTCTATATTATTTTAAATTAAGAAGCTGCTGCTTAGTTTTATCAGTTAGTAGTCCTGAGTGCCTCGAAGAGATCTCCGAGAATAGTAGGAGCACTGAGGAATTGTAAGGACGAAAAGGATAAACTAAGTATGTTCAGGAACTTAATCTAAAATTTTATAAATTTCAGATCTGGAAAAATCTTGCTGAAATACTTGAATCTAAAGCATGAAAAAGTCTAGTAAAACAATTTATCAATTTTCTGAACGGTGAGCTTAGAATACTAATTTATCAAAAATTATTCCCAACTGTTGTTCTATATATGAACGATTGGAAGCTTTCATCAGTATCTACTGATTATAAATCAGCTTTGTTAGCCACTGATTCTCTTGAACCTCCAGCCTTAGGATTTGTTAATCCTTCAGAAGCTAGGCAAAATACTCCATCCGCTTTAACCGCACTGATAAAGCAAAATAATACTCTTATTCAGTTGCTATTAAAAGTTTCTGATAGACTTATCACTCTTGAAGATAAGATAAAGCAAATTCAAAAGAAAGAACCTGAAAAATCTGTTGAAAATTCTATATTTGCTCTTTAGAAACAACTTAAATCTCTTTCTCTGGGAAGTACATCTAAACCAGCGAAGCCTTCCAAAACTAGAGGTCAGTTATTTGTTTTTCAAAATCCAAAGACGATATTCCTTAAAGAAAAACAAAAATCTTCATGATGGCCTCTACATCTAGAAATAACTCTTTTCGTACAAATACTACTCTACAAACTATTCCAAATGTACGAAATTCTATTCCTATAAATACATCCAATCTTGATGATCAAATACGTGATTATCGTATGAGATCAAGAATAGCATATGAAATCCAGAGAATGTTGCCGAGACGAAAATCATATAATAAGACTCTGGAAAGTCAAATAGATCCAGAGCAGCAATTAGAAATTTCACAGAGAAAACGTGTCAATTTAGTGCCTGCTGAAACATTATATGAAGACGGATGGTCTTCAATAAAGCATAGGGTTTATCAACATTATTCTGAAGAAAGAATACTTGCTGTTGAGGGCATGCAAATAAGCCTGCCATTTATAAGACAAGAGTTATTCCAAAAGTTAATCCAAGAAGAAATGCAACATATTCACCTTGGATTAATAATGATCCGAATACATACATTGCATCGAAGAAATGCAGGAACTAATGTTTTAATTGTACTTCGGGACACAAGATGGAGGTCTGGCGTATCCATTATTGGAACAATTGAGGTTGATTTATCCAAATGTACACAACTCGTCTATATAACTCCTGATATGTTATTATCAATACATGATTTTCTTAATCATATTGAGTTTGTTGTACTAACTCATGGATATGATGACTGGCAAGGAGGAGAATCAAATCTCCTTATAACTAGGGCCCTAGTTGCAAGGCTTACTAATACCAGTCATGCTGGTTTTAGATTCATATATATATATGTGGTGGAAGAGACTCGCATCAACAGTAATAATTTCTGAAAATCAATTTCAGTCAGTATGCTGCATCTTGAAAGAGATTTATCATAAGTTTGACCGTCAAGCTTTCAATGATTCTCGATTAATATTATCACTTTAAGGTTTATATATATATATATATATATATATGAAATCCTACCTAATGCATTAAAAAGTTTCCTTTAAAAGTTAAAAAAAGTGACTTTTTTAATGTAATAAGAAATATTATGGGATATAAATGTAAAAAATAAAGTTGTAATAAGAAATATTATGCCTTCTATTTCTTCTATTACAATAGAGGTCGTGCTGTTTATGTTCCTTACGGCAACTTAGCAATTGCTCATTCATGAAAATAATAATAATAATAATAATTAATTAAAACTGCTCACCTATAACACTTTAATATGCTAAATGTATGCATGAAAAAATATATTTCACATTTAAAAGAACGAGGGTGCTAATTTTTGACTTGATGTTAAGATTTGAATGAGAAACATGTAAATATGAAAGTTTAGAAGTCAGTGACTGTTATGTAAATGTCCCCAAAAAATGTTATATTGATTGAAGACAATTAATCGAAAGTAAACAACCTCATCACCACACAGACAAATGAATATCAAATTATAGAACAAAGCTACAATTGCATGCCCAAGAAAAATTATTTGAAATATTCCAACTTCAAGCAACTTTCCACCATAACCCTAAACTCTATATCTATCATGCATAATATAGCTAATAGATTCAGTAGGTGCACAATTCAATTCTCTTAAGAGGAATGCTCAACCATATATTCACCTTTGCTCCATCCTCTCCCCCATTCCCATACCCTCATTTACTGGCCACCCATGGCTCCGTCTCCTTCATCCTCTCGCTCTCATAAGTCGTAACAGAACTAAACACAGCCATCCGTCGAACGCCAAAGCCATCATCAACTTCATCTCCCAACACAGTTTTTTCTGTTTAGTACATATAGATGAGCAGAAGCAGGAGCATGACAATGAAAATTAGAGCATGATAAAGCGCCAAAAAATTGAATTTTTAAGTTGCAAACGTTTGCATAAGGGTTGTTTGGTAAATCCAGGATTTAAGACAAAACTGAGAGGAATTAAGAAGAAATTGGATTTACTAAATCAGGGATTTAAAGTGTCATTTTTTGCTGTTTGATAGAAATAAGTTAAATGCCACTTAAATCCGATACCAGACAACCCCCAAAAAGTAAAGGAGGTCATGTTTGATATGAGAATTATGAAATACTTCTTATGGTTCTGACGAAAATATCATATTGAAATTTAAATTTATGTTGGTGGCCCCTTTAAGGTAGTGTGAGAAAGATAAGAGTAAGACAAACTCAAATATATTAAGGTGTATTTACATACAACCTAACCAATTCCTATGTATTTACATCTCTAATACCTAAACTTCTAGCATTTATACCACCTAAATCTTTCATATCACATTAAAAATGCCACAACTTTTAAAAAGCAAAATACAGCTATTCATGCGTAGATAGAGTGACATATCTAAAACTTGTAGTTTAGGTGTAGATATGTAAATACAGAGGCATTGAGTGGGATGTATGTAAATCTTCCTCGCATTAAAAGTACTTGGGTGGTTCTAAGAATGAAGGACAACCAGCACCAAAGAGAAGCCCATCATGTCATCGTCGAAGCGCCGCTAAATATTATAATTCCTTCAATTATAGTTATGTCACACATCCATCTCAATAATTTAATTTTTGCCACGCTCAATTTAGTGATAAAAAACTTTTTTACTATCAAACATTTGATCATATAACTTACTCAAAAAACTAGAGTTTTATAAAAATTTAATTAAAACCTCTGTATCTTATTGCATAATACTCTCCAATAAACACTTATCCATTTTTAGCTAATTAACTTTAAATCCAGAAGTTATTTCATCATATATGTACATGAAATTCTTTTGTTTAAAAGATCCAAAATATTATTGAAATGATAATTATTAGCATCTCATGCTAAAATAACAAGCCATACTAATATATAAATATATTACTTTCAAAAGTATGATACACGTTTCATATTCTGGTATTTATGAAAATACTGGTTAATATACATTAGTTTGGCATAACAAGAATAAATTTTATCAAAATAAGGTTAACAGTATAAATTTGAATAAATGCTCTGCATTTTCATTCTAAATTTAAAACAAAAATATCAATGTTGGTTTAATATTGATCCCGTATTTTTTATTAAGGTTAATGCTAAATCGTACGTATTTTTAATGAGGTTAACATATCTTTGACACGCCAAACTAATGTATGCGAGACTCAATAATATATTCATATAATTGTTTTTAAAAACACGCTTCACGTGCAAGAAAAGCGAAGTGTGCGACACCCACTTATCTTCGCTTCACTGAAGTGCATTTTGAAGCGCTAAAGTGTTCAATTCGATTCATAGTTTAGCGGGAGGAATAAAGAGCAACTGAACTAATTTTGCTTGATTCGTAAAACATGAGATTTTATCAGTCTATTTATGCTTTAAACTTTAGATTTTGTTTTGAATTATAAGGATTTTTTTTATAATTTTTAGTCTTTTAATTAGTGCAGCAAACTATAAGACATTGTTAGAAATTTTAATGTGTAGTTTCGCCCTTAATGTTTGAATTCAAGTTAGATATTACACCACATTCTTTTCTATTTTATATTAACTTCAAGTCATACTATATATTTTATAATTATTCATGAATGTATTTATATAACCTATTAACACTTTAGTTTATAAAAGTGTTGCTTTGCTCCGCGCTTAAAGCTTTGAAGCAAAAAATAAAGCACTGTGCATCACATTGTGCTTTGCACTTTGATAACAATAATTCATATAGATGTTCGTCTTCGCAAAATCAACAACAATTCTTTCTCCACTCTATAAGTTTTCAATATTGTGCTCTAGCATGAAATTAAATTGATTCAACAAAAGTCACAAAACTTTTCAAGCACATCATTGTTCTTCCTCATAATTTTATTTTATGAGTTTTACATTAAATTTTTATATAAATATCATAATTTTGAATATATCCCTTGTTCTTGAATATAATTATTTTCGAATAAAGAAAATTAATAGAACTCAAATCCCAGGAAAAAATGTATATATAACCAAATCACTGCAGTATCGCTCAAAACTCCAAAATCTAAATAGATATCCTATATGGACATAAAGCTCCATAGTCCTTATACATGTCATATCCGCTACACTTTTTTAGGTTGAGTTGTGGCATACATAATACATCATTCAATTATTCATTATACTATTCCAAAATAATATCTTTCTTAAAATTTAATTTTAACAATTTCTCCAAGTAACATGGCTAAAATCATCTAGAATTTGAAAACAACAATAACAAAGGTTCATATCAGTGCCTGCCCCTAAAACTTCACGTAGCTAACCGATGATATATCAAAGATAGAACGGTACCCTAGGTTTAAAATTAACATATAAAAATAAATAAATAAAACACCTAAAGAAAGAAACATCAATAATGCATGTGTAGCTGCTGTAAATAGGCAAAAAGCAAAAGCAATTCGTTCATACGTACTATTTAAAAGCTCAAAGAGCTATTAATACACCACATCTTTCACCGCTGCAGTTTCCTCCGAGCCAAAGCTGGCGTTTTCTTAGGTATGTATACCTTGTAACTTACCTGCCAAATTAAAAAGAAAATCATTAAAACACAACAAGTAAACAATATAAAAATGGAAGATTTACATACATATCACTTAATTGTTATGTATTTACATATCAAACAGCTAAACTTCAATTTTTACATGGTATAACTGTAAGAAGAAAAAGCATGTGTTAGATACATAAATACAAAGAATTGGTAAGTTTTAAGCAGTCATATTATAATATTAATACAGCGAACAGATAACTAACCTGAACCATTTCCCCATCATGCATTCTAGAAAATGTTTTTTGCTCAAATTGAGATCCGCTCTGACATTCTTCCACAGTTTTACTGTTTTCATTGATTGTTTCTTTACCATCACCTAAATTTACCTCAAACCTGAAGCTTCTATTATCACTTTCACAACCTTCAGTAGCTTTCTTTTCTTGAGATCCTCTGCATAAAGATATCTTTTGAGATCCACTCTGACATTCTTCCACAGTTTTACTGTTTTCATTGATTTTTTCTTTACCATCACCTAAATTTATCTCAAATCTGAAGCTTTTATTACCACTTTCACAAACTTCAGTAGCTTTCTTTTCTTGAGAAACTAGGCATGAAGATATCTTCTCAGGAAAATCTTCCATGTCTTTCGGCAGCCGATTCGAAGTGCTTTGGCGGTTTATGCTAATGCCCAACTGTTTGGCGTTTCGATTCTGATTCAGATGACTGGATAGCATCTTTTTATCAGATGTAGAATAATTAGCCTCCAGAGATGGCACTTGGATGAAAGGTTTCAACTTTGAGTCATTTGCAGGAATTCCCAATTGAATATGTTTATCCTTAGAAACAATGGTGTCAGATTTTGGGGAAGAAATGTTTTTTCTAGCAGTTTCACATTGTTTTTCAAAAGATTCAGCTCCAGCTAACTCCTTTTTCCTGTCATCAGAAGTTCTGTTGTCAGATGAGAGACGGCCTCTGACTTTCTTCAAGTTTTCTAAAGCCCTCTGCCTTAGAATCAACTCCAAATTATCAGAGTCAGAATCATGTTTATCGGCAGCAACAATCTCACTTTTTATCCTTCTTGAAAGCTTCGTATCATTGAGTTCCAGTTCCTTGTAGGGCCCAGATGCCAGTGCTACACTGTCTTCAATCTGATCAAAATAAGAATCATTATCAACATTAGCTTCGCTCATCCACCTCTCAATCTCAGTCTGTTGTTCATAAGAACCCTCATCCATCACACTGTCCTCCTCTGCTCTAGCAAGCGGTGAATCATCATTATCCATCTCCCTGTCCCTGCTCCCATACCTCTCCTCCACTTCCCCTCGTGATTCTATAAGAGAAGACGAGCCAATCTGCCTATAACCATCTTTCACCTCTCTGTAACTATGTATCTGGCTAGGCTCACTACTTCCGCTACAAGTGGAACAACTGAGAGACCTGTTCCTATTTCTCAAACTCCTAACAACCCTATCCAGCTTCCTTCCTCTCTTAACTTTCTTCTTCAACTTACCTTTCCTGTCATATCGGCCCCGCGCCGGGCTTCTCGATCTATTCGGCGAACCGCTGCTCCGGCTACGGCAAGTAGAGCAGCTGGAGCTATCATCTCCGCCCGATGAACTGACGCTTCGTTGACGAGCTTTGCGACTCCTCTTCTTCAAAGATCGCTTCGGATCTCTCCCCCGACTTTTCACCGGCTTCCGACGGGAGCTCCTTCGACGGCGGGAGACATCATCACCATCGTCGTCGGAAGAAGAGGACGATGGCGGGAAGGAAACGCGGCGGCGCCTCCGGGTTTTGGGATTCTTCCTCTTGCGCCGATCCTGTAAAATAGGGATCGAATTAGAATCAGAAACAGTATTAGGGAGGAAATTAAGATTTAAAACCTGTACAATCCAGACCTCTTCAGAGTTCTTCTTGGACTTGGAGGGAGCGAGGGCCCTGCCCATGAAGGACCAGCGCCAGCGATCTGGGTGGAATGAGCGAGCGAGGAGCGCAGGAGAAGAAGAGTGGTTAGAGAATAGAGCAGAGATATGAGAGTAAAGGGGAATGGAGAAGGAGATGCCACCAGATTCGAAACCCTAGATTCAACTCAGAAGTCGGGATCGACGAAGCAATTAAACGAGCAGCCAGCCTAAGTTCCCTTTAAATGAAAAGCGTAGCAAACAACGAAGGCTAGGGTTAAGATGCAGATTACATTTGTTCATGTCAAATTTTGGTTCCCATGATGATGATGATGATGATACATATTCAAAATAAGTATTAAACTAATTCAATGTATAAAATTTCCGACCATATAGATACATATAATATTTTAGTATGATACAATAAATTAAAAAAGATTAAAAAAAATAACCGTTAAAGGGGACATTTTAATTTTTTATATGAAAACTCGAAAGTAAAAAAATCATGAAGTCTGACACAGTTGGATAGTTTACTACTGAGATCTATATCATAAAATTTTGTCAACTTTGAACTCTAAAAAAAAATACAAAATACAGAAGTGATAGTAATTTGTTTAAAAAAAATGTTTGAGACTAAATGTCTCGAGAGGACGACGAAACCAGCGTGGACAACCAACCGATAGCCTAGACAACTGACCCAACCTGGATGACCGATCGACAGCTTGGAAGATCGCTAACCTGGATGATCGAACCAGCCTGGATGACTGACCGACAAATTGGACAACCGACCTAGCCTGGACGATCGACTCATAATCTAAAAGACTAAACTAACATGGATGATCGAACCAGTTTGGATGAACGACCGACAATATAGACGACCGACCCAATATGGACAATCAACCTAACCTAGACAGCTGCAGGACGGCCTAGATGAAAAAGCCTAAACAACTGAGGAACCGAAGTTTGGACAAGCTTGAAGAGTGTCAAGCCATGAGCTCACTTATGTAAAAGGCACAAATTAACCTGTAAAACCCTCATTAAAGTAGTGTTAGGTTGATCTAGGCCGTCCTTTTGATGTAAACGGATCTCTTTTGATGTAAAGAGGGATCTCTTTTGATGTAAAGAGGGACATTTGGATCCCCCCCC